GAACGACCCGACCGACCGACCCCAGACTTGGATACCATAACCAATCTATACGAGGGCCACCTGAAAGTACTCTTCGTTCTGTTACCAGGAAGCTGTTGCTGCCATGGCCCCGAGTATAATAGCATTACGGAGAGTTTGACTTCTGGCCCACTATGAGAGATTCAAGCAAAGCACGCGGTAAAGCTATCCCTCCTTGGCTAACGTGTGTTCCCTTCCTACCTCGTGCGATACATTGGATGTTTTCCGTAATTTTCTTTACATAAAGGAGGTCACTGAGGCCGCACTGCCCGTCAGCTCCAAACAGTTCGCTCGTGTACTCTAAATTAGACCACAATTTCGCGATTGTGCTGGACATTTGGGTGCTGTGGAGACGGCTTCGCCTTCGGCCGAAACCGTCAAACCCATACAACGGGGCAGTGCACATGACAAAACAACAATGCTTTCACCTCTTGCCCTTTCTGGAGGCACATTGATGCATGGAATCAACGGACAAGATAATATGTGTTATGAAAACAACAACTGCCTCAAGCTCGTACCATCCACCCGAGCGCTGGACGGCTACGAAGCCTGGATTGGAAAGGTACTCCCACAATCACAATGTTGTCTTAACAAGCGCCGCCAAAGTGAGCACATCCCCGCCCAATTAGAGTATGCGCAATCCGATCGACTAGAAAGCGTCTATCTCCTGGCGACGCATGTCTAAATATGTCCTTTCGGCAGTGGATAAAATATATTACGCGAACTTTCTCTTCCGCCTTCAGCCGCCAGATAGTTCTTTCCTTTCCGGCTTGGCTGCACTGATAGGAGAGAGGGAAATAGAAACCCTGTTAGTTTGGAAGGTGGTCCCACCCACCCATGGATAAACATGATTTCTATCTTACAGATTTCCATCAAGCATTTAGAACGCTGAAATCTCTCCAAATCTGTAGAGAAATTTACTTGATGGGACACAATATTTTCTATTCTACCCGATGGGATCTTCCGACGGCAGTTCTGTCCACCGTCACAGATGTTCTACTACGAATTCTTGTGATTGCTTTGAGTCCGGGTTAGGAAAAGCACTGCAGCTCTTTGTTGAAAAGTGACTTCTACCCGCAGGCACTTCACGGACCAAACTACGCAACTTACGTGACTTTGGCCAAGAGTTTTAGAAAAAAAAGTAAGGAGTAAGTAGATTCCGCCCATACATTATAACTGTAAAATCATTCTGGGACGTGAGAAATTGGGCTCTTGAAATCTGACTCACTTAACATAGGGAAGAATTTCTTTTTTTCATTGAAATGGAAACAAAGCAGTTACAAGAACATAACTGACGGTGACCCGTCAGAGGGTCCCATGAGGTTAAATGGAACGTATTGGTCCCATCAAGCATTCAGATGGGGTCACATCAAGTAAATTTTTCCAGATTTGTGTCTCCCGCTTTCGATTTTCTGCTTCTTGAGCTGTTCCGTAATATAGACCTCTTGAGACCGTCTCCCCATTACGCTTCTTGAGCTATCCATAATATAGACCTCTTCAGACCGTCTCCCCATTATGCTTCTTGAGCTATCCATAATATAGACCTCTTCAGACCGGCTCCCCATTCTGTCCCTGGAGTCTGATCATCACTGGACCGCTGTGCGGAAGTTCCGGCGAACAAGTGGAAGGCAGCCCGGCTGAAGTTTTCCATTTACCGGCTGTTTGCCATTTTGTTTGGGACGTCTGTCCACCACAACTTACTCTAACGAGGGAAATCTCCAGGCCACAGGTCAAGTCATGAAAGCCATGTGACGTCACTTTTGGCTGAAGGTTTCACTCCGGTTTACCAGCATGTATATATACTCTGTACACGTATAGCTGGAATATACCGTTTCTTTCCCGTATGAATTTGTCCTGGCTGCAAATTACAAGTGGAATTTGTCCTGTACTCATTTCGAAGCCGCCGGTAACCAAGTTTAGTGCCAGACAACCAGAGCACCTGTGCTAATATTTCGTTCCCGTATTTTAGCGGGTTGTGGATTCGCAATGACCCTTGATGGACGAGGATTGACATTCCTGCAATATCTACCTGACATGTGTACTGATCCACTCCATCTCACTACCGGTTCTCATATAGAAAAACTTGTTTCGCAGAAAAGTCCTTTCTGCATTCGTGATTATGCTGGGTGAGCTTACAGTATAATGTTACCTCCTTTTGCACTTACTGTAATCGATAAATTGTTATCCTCGTCATATTATTGTGCTAGGGGGCGTATTGGACAACGAAGTGGGAGCAGAATTGGGGGATATGAATACATTGCAAGATAAATATCGATAGCCCAACGTTACAGATTATAGCGAAACCCTAGATGGCTTTCATCATTGTATGTCGCTAACTTGATTGCTAGAATAATTAATCTACACATCTTTTACACTAATTTCAAGAACAAGTGAATACCATTCGAGGTCTTGCAGATTATGCTGGAGTAGTCATGATGCTTAGATAGACCACTTTTTCCACTCTATATTCACCTACCTCGCGCTATCTTATAAGTCTTGACAAGGATAGTAAATGATATCTTCCAAGCATATAATCACTTAAGTCGTTTCGAATAGTTGTTCGATGTAGTTGCATTTGGTGTAAGAGTGAGAATATCTCGTCTTCAGCTATTTATATGATGAAGAATGATGAAGAATAATCATGATGAGGAATGACATACAATCATGATGAAGAATGACACTGGATGCATAAGATTCATGATTATCCAGGTTTTATTCCATCTTGTCAAACTTACTGCATATGATCTCGGTAACATGACTTCAAGTAACATCTTTCTTCACACCACATCGTTCTTTCAGTAAAACTCTTGAGACACCAAAACATTGGAGTAATGTCATTGGGCACAAAAATACTATTAGATATCGATCTACATGGTCCTGAAGTGAACGTTCAGATTGCTATCAATAACTTCTCACTAGCATCCATCTAGTGCTCCAAAAACCAACTTAGACGAATTAAAATAAAAAGTTTCGATATCTTACGTGGAATGGTCAGGAATCAATTGTGTTGTTGTTGCTGGGCTGGTCCAATGTAACTCGTGTAGTGCCTTCCATGTAAGGTTATGTGTCCTCTCTAGTACAACATATTTCAACTTTGAGAAGCATTGTGATGAACATGAGGGCATTTCAGGATGTGTGAGACATGATACTATTTACGGAGAGCAAGTGAAATCCACAGTTTATACTCTGCCCTGGCGTTGAAGAATGGACAGGGGGAGTTTGTTATGGGTGAATCTTTGGTGCGATACATCGATTCATGGTAAGTAGCCAAAGCCTGGGCAGCCCGGGCCAAAGTCGGAGATGAATTCAGGTCTATAAAAATGACATCCTTACATGGTAGAAGGCTACACCAGTAAAGTGAAAGTTTTAGTAGAGATATTGATATATAACAGCTTTTGACGAAAGGCAGAAAACCTCGTGGATCTATTGGTGTCGAAGTGGAAGGGCACCTGTGACTACGAACTAGTTCCTGTATGGTGTACTGTACCAAAAAGAGAGAGTAAATACGCTTTCGCTTGTACAGCAATTATCTCGGGTAGCAACAGTTGTGTAACTGACAGATTAACTTTACTGTCTACAATAGGTGAAGGACGATGAAAAGGTCACATGATAGTGGTGGTTTGGTTTCTTAGCCGCCTTCAAGCATGAGCCTGAACGTGTGCTGCTGACTTCTTCATCTGCATATGAGCAGGAGCGGCTGTACTGGAATACTCGGCTCCCTTGTGTCTTGCCTCCGAGTTCCTATCTACTCGCAGCCGTGGTCCGCGCTGTGCTTTTATTTTCCTAGCGGCGAAGAATGACTATAATACTAGACGATATGGCGGTGTATCGTTTTCAGGCCCTCTGGACCCAGACTTTTAGTGAGTATCATTTCACCGGTTTTAATTTTAGTCGGTACGTGGCCGCTGAACCTGGACTTTTTCTCTGCTGGGCGTATCTGTTTTAGTGTGAGACCATGTTTTCCAGACAAAGTCATTCTGATGCTTACTTTTTGCTATTGACGGGTCTCGTCAGGCGAAATCCAAACATGTTATACGGTGACTCAAACGGTTTTAGTTGAAGATTAGCGGACAAAAGGCTGGCGTGAAAAGGCTTGGGACAAACATATGGAAACTGAACGTAGGCAAGATCATGCATCATACCGATAGCCGAGACCACCTTAGAGGAAACAAAGACGCATTGTACAACGATTAGGATACCGTAGCTTGACATTACTGGAAGCTGCATGGGTACTAAGAATCATACATCTACCCACAGAGATCATTGAAAGGAGTGCAGATTTAGTGTATCGAGAAGAAAATCATTCTAGCCTACCTTTTCAGATCCTAGAACTTTTTCCTTTTGACTTTCTAACGCATATGGTGTTGGATCAGCCCATGGAGACCACACTGTCATCATTAATGTCTGAGGATTAGGCTGTTAAGAAAGTCGAGCTCCGAGCTTCGCAGCTCAGAGATCGCGTTGTTATTTGGTGGAATCTCACATGGGCCAGAGCGGTCGCAGTGACATGGACATGGATGGCTTGTCCAAATGTCATGTGATTGCATGTCGCCGAAACATGTACTGCTGCTGCTGCTCCCGAAGGCTTATCCCTCAGCCTCGCGTCTGCATACATTCTAGAATAGGCCTGCCACCCTTTCTCCGTCTCGTCTCCACTCTCTCCCTCCCGTTATACTCACGTACGTAACCGTCAGTGGAAAATATTCTGGGCACTATTATTTCCGACGAGTGGGATTGAGTCTGGAAAATATTCGGGGGCATTTTCAGAAAGGCATGATTTCCGACGAGTGGGATTGAGTCGGGGAGCTTAAAATATACTAGGTCCGGAGACCTGATCCTCCGCTGGCATCGACTGGAAAGCCGGCCGAGTGGGCCAGGCAGGAGGGGGCCGCTGGGCAGCGCTCGATTTCGTTTGCTTCTTTCCGTCGTGGCCCATTGCGCTCGGTTCGGTGCCATACAATACTGGAACGATGCGGTAGTGTAGAGAAGTTTGATGCAAGCGGTTCACGTGTATGAGCAGCAGTGTCAACTTCGCGTGTGTCCTAATATCCTGTCGGTTTGTGGAAGGACTCGGAAGCCTGTTTGACTGGCGCAACTTTTGCATACAACTCGTGTTTTCTGTAAGGCCCTTTCGAAACCGCAAGATTCCCCGCCCCGCGAGTAGGTGCTCAACGGAATACACTATTCTCTCTCTCTCTCTCTCTCTGTAGAATTTGTGCGCCATGAAGGTACGGTATGCCCCGTCGTCGATGCGGCCACAGTAGCACCAGGATCCCGCGGGAATCGCAAGTCCAATTTTGGAGGCCCGGTCTCCTCGATCGGCGACTCTCTCACTGGCTAATACCGGGGGCCCGATTGCGTTTCAGCGATGCATCGTCCCGTCTCCTGGCTAGGCTTGCCATAACCTCTCAGGCGCTCTGATTCCCACTGACTCGCTCCCAGAAGTTGGCAGGCCTCGCTCTGTCCAGCGGAGGTTGGGCTCGGGAAGCGGAAGCGGACGACGACACTGCAAGACCATAGATACGCAGGGACGGCGAATTCCGACATAGTTAGAGGCTGGCATATCTAGACTTAGACCGGCCTTGGCCTCGGCCTGCATTCAGACGTACTTGGATTTAAGCTGCGCCTCATCTCTCATCGTGCAGCTAATCCATCCGGTCGGACCACGCCTGCTCATGCCACCCACTTCCTCGCCACTCCTCTCTGCTTGTCTCTTCCTGCACCCTTTCTCGGCATTCCAGTTGCCTCGCGTGGCCCGAAACTGCCCTGTTTCTCTCTCCCGTCTTCAAAACCCATCCCGACGTTGCCTCGCGGCTTCTTCTTTCGCAGTAGGTTGCTGTCGCGGTCCCCTCCCCCCGTCTCGCGCTCCTGACCTTCTCCGTCCGTGTGTCCCACTCCCTTCGGAGCGAATTGCAAATTGCATTCATTTACGTGCACAACGATGTCGAATTCCGGGTACAACGAGGTGCGTTGAGATAATCTGTCCCTCGTCTTGCTCTAGAATCTCTTCGCGCTAGCATTACATTGTAGCCACTGCTTCAGACTTAGTCTATCAATCAATTCCGAAAAATGGTGCGGCACGAGTAACTGAAACTCTTCAAAATTTGTGCATTTTTTCTGTAAGCAGTTTTTCAACTACATGCCTCAACTCGTCCAGGAGGACGGCTCTTCTGACGAAGATGAGGGATTGGTAAGCGCGCGTAGATTTTGTGCTTCTCTGATGCTTTCCAGTCCACTTTTAATAATTTAGTCAATGTGCTCTCTCGTTCTACTTCTGTCTTGATTTAGTGTCATCTCAATCATGATCGTTGACAAACGAGCAGATCACCGTTGTGCTGAAGATGCCTCTTCTCACCGACGAATCTGAGGAAAGAGTACAACAAAAGTTGAAGGCCGTAGAAGGTATTTAATCTCGACCGCTAATCCTGCTCTATCCTTCGTCTCTGCATTCAAGTTGCAAGCATGCATCTCCAGCAGAAATGCGCGTTTGCTCCACGTAGATCCGGCCTAGCCTGTGTGCCAATTTTCACGCATGAATTTGTCAAGCGGCTGTGCGATCTTGTATCAAATTCCTGAATCATGTCGACCGACCTTCGAGAAAACCCGATCCTGGTGCATTCATGATCATGATCTCGTGTTGGAACCGCTTCTGCATTACAGGGGTATCAAGTGTCCACATTGACGTGACCAGGCACAAAGTCACTGTCAAAGGGACTGCGGAACCTGCAACCGTGCTTGCCAAGGCCCGAAAAGTCATGCCGCAGACGGAGCTATGGTAACAGCGACAGGATCGCGCGGCAGACCCTTCAGCTTCGAAATAAATTAGGCAGAGTTTTGACTTGATCTGGATTTTGCATGTGTCGATTAGTTGAGGTTCTGATGTTAAGGGTAGGAGGAACTTATAGTTCCGTGAAAAGTCATTGATCTTCTGCGGTGTCCGGGCGATGGAAACGGGGATCTCATCATGATGCCGGAAGCACAATCAATCTGGCCGCGGCTCGGATGTGTTCAGACTCAGCAGCACGGGCTCCGGAGATCGGAAGGACCCATTCCACACGAATTGAATCCCGCGCTTCGTATATCGTAGCTTTTAGGCAGGACACACTACTCATAGTCGAGGTTTTGATTTCAGTTTATCACCAGCGCCATGTACATAAGACTCTCTTGCTCGTCTTGCGATTGAGTAGCTGTATAGTCCTCTCGTTACCATGGGAAATATGAACTGCACGGGGGCATCATCATTCAGGTGGTCCACTTGCAGTTACATTCAATCATTGTTCTTTCTGTAATTATGAATCTCTGAGACGTGCTCGGACTCTTGTTTTCTGCTTCAAAGTGTCCCAAGATGCGACGATCGAGTGACTGCCGCTCCGTCCTCTCGGACGCTGCGTCTCTTTGACCGGGAACTGTTGGTCGCCGGGAGCCAGCCAGTCACACCTCTCACTTTCGATACAACAGAAGAGCCTCGAGGCGGTCACGGTTATTGAGTGCGTCGCAACTCACGGGCTCCGTCCGATGCCATCGGATCGGCCGCATGCATGATGAAGTGGAACGCCGTCATTGGCCCGACTGCGTTCTGCTGCCGTCGACTACGATCTAGGCTTGTCTCGGTTCACGACCAACCTTGTAAACAAAAGCAAGCAAGATGCACCACCGACTGACACGCGTCTCTGCCTCTCCTTGCCGACGGCCAGAAATCACCGTGGTTTCACAGCCAGCGTCATAAAACCTGGTTGTCAAAGCTACCCGCGGTGTACGGCGATTTCTACGCGGTTGAAGAAGGCGTACTTGACCTGGACGGAAGTCGGTTGAGAATATAGTGGACTCGAGCTAATTTTGCATGTATATACACTCGATGTAAATGCAGTTGACCTAGAGATTTGCTTTTTCCCAGAAATCTCGACATGTTACGAGCCATTCAGATTTCACAAACTTCATTCGTAGGCAAGAGTGAAATTCGAACGGGTGTGCCAGGTACTTTGGGAGGGAGGGAGTAACGGCTGGGTCACAATCATGGAAATGCTGCACGTCGCCCGTGTATTCTTCCGCGGGTGTAACACCCGAGGATGGAGCGAATGATGCGTCAAGAGAGAGCGGGATCTCACTGTAACCGCTGCCGCTCTTATCACGACAATTGCGTCGGACCCGGCGTACCGAAGCTCCAGGCAGGAGTTTACTTTACGATGAATATGGTTCAGCTGGAGTTGCGAGTTGAAAGTTTCACCCCGGAGCTTTGGAAAAGCACGCGGGGCGAGGTCGAGTGATGGAGAATGATTTCCTCGTTGTTATCCAGCAACGCCAGGGAGGGAGGCAGGGAGGGGGCATTCACGGCACCATGGGGTTGAATCCCGAGACTTCTGGGAATTCAGGAAAAGGTACTGTGGCGCACGTTGGTCAATATGCCAGCCCCACGAGTGATTATGACAGACTGTGACAGTACAGTGGGTGTTAGCGCACACATATCCCCAGGCGACTTATCCCTACGGGTCATGATTACATGGTACTCTGTAGTTCTAGGGCCAAGGCTCCGAGGCTAGGCCTTAGGTGGACTCGCTGTGTTGGCTGGAAGTGGACACACCTGTGACGGCAACAGCACCTTGTTGGCTGCATATCGTAGCCAAGGCGGCGATTGGCCGGAAGCGTCCGCTCCATGAACCGGCAGGGTTCAGATTCTGCGAACGGACAGGAGAAACCGACAGCTAGCCGGTGTACGGCAACGCCATGGCGAAAATCTTCCGTTATGTAGGAAAACTAGACCGAGTGGTGGTGCCAGTAACAAAAATAATCAGAACCTTGGGCCGTATGCGGGGCACTATTCTAAAAGCTGCGCCCACTTTTCCACTTGTTCCCTAGATCTTGATCACAGCAGAACCGTCCTGTGGGGAGTCTAGCCTTAGCCCATTACTGTGGTGGGCACCTCGGGGTGGCTGAGAATCGCTGGGCACTCAGTACCACTGAATGCACTTCAGTGCAGTGATGAACGATCTTTCCAAAACTATTCTCGTGACCAGTCTCCTAGTCCAACATCGTGCCAGGCTTTTCGGCAACCTTTTGCCCTTCCCACGACATATTCTTAGATTCACATGTACTTGTTCAGAAGACGAAGGTTGAAGGTCAGATGCATCAGCTCCTACTCGTCTGAACTGGGCCCGAACAAGTTAGACAACAGGATGCTTTTCGATCCTAAGTGCATGTTATCGAGACATGACAGTGTAAACCTCATCTGCTCATCTGCTCATCTGCTCATGTTTTCCTTCAGAGATCACTGAGAAAGCTTTTCGAGTATGGCGTGGACCCATAACTCCATACATACATGACGAGCTTTCATTCAGCAGTCAACAAGGATTTAAGGCTTCAGATTTAGCTACTGTTACACTAGCCCATCGGCCAAGTACAATGCCACGATGAGTGGCGTTCGTTGGACAACGATATTCTCTCCGTTCTGTGAAAGTTTCTCCTTTTGCGGTCCAAAAGCCCAAATTGACCGACCTAACATAACAGCTGGGAATGCGATCAGGCTAGCATGTACCGTATAATGCAAGGAGATGCCACAAACTCAGCACGTCGTACAAGGCGAAAAGATCAATAAAGCAGAGTGCCGGGAACTGGAACCAATCGGAGTTAAGTAAAGTCTCGATTTCACCAACTTGGCTGGGAAATTCTTTGCTTTTCTCAAAAGACAAAGATCGGAAAGCTCTAACAGCCAATCTGGAGTAGAGAGAACAGCTTCCCGGAAAGGGGTAAGCTCTCCTGCCTCGCACCACTTGAAATCCAGCTACATGCTCGGCCTGGACTTGGACTTCCCCTGTGCTAGGATCTATCGATGGTCGGGATGTGCTCGACTGCAGAAATCTGCTTCTACAGCACAAGATCTAAAAGCTTTCAAAATTTTACTTTTCCGATCAGCGGCCACTCTACGCACATTGCGCTGCATATTCACATCACTTCTGCCTGCGTCTGCGTCTGCTTCGCTGGCAGCCGACGTCCACTCTGTCACTCACCCACTTACCACATAACCTTCTGAACCACAGTAATTCTGAGATTACCTACGCTGTTGTAGACAAAAAGTCGTTGGTCCAGTACCTCCCGGAAATTCATCCCAACTTCAATCATTGAAGGCAATAAAACCGTCTTGGCGGCAGACAATAACTGTATCAGATTATGTAGAATGGGTGTAATGATATCTGTCTTACTTCCATTTTATGTCCTCTTGCTCGTAGTATTCATTCTTATTAGCATAAGTTTCATGATACTTACTTCCTCTTCTCAATGTTCATGCCCCGATGTATGACCTTGTGTTCACGTGCAATAAGCCAAAGGCGTTTCATCTTTTCTGTTGTCACAAATGGATTAGTTCTCTTTCTTCCCAAAGCCTTTAAATTGGGTTTCAGTTACTTTGCACTTTGATTATTAACATCTAGATGACCATGTTACAACCGGGAGCGGAGCACGTATTTTTTCCTCACAAAAGTGGTACATGTGAAGAAAATCTAGATGGCCCATCCATTTAGGTCCATGCATCTACCTCCATTTTTCAACCTACATGTCTTTCGATACATGTATCTTCCTGTCATAAATTTTCTAAACATTTACTTACGTTTCTTTCATGAAGATGCAAGTTGAGATATTTTATTCCTCATTTGGACTTTATAATTGTCGTTGCAATCTTTTGTCGACCGGATGGTCCAGAATTAAAAGAATACCCATTTGTATGGAAGTCCCAACCTATACTGAGTGCTAGGCACCCTCACTTGGAATTATTTAAGGTTTGCAGCGAGGCGTTTCAATACACATTAAGCACTGTGTATGTCAATATGGTTTGGACCGAACTGTAAACGGTTGTACAGTTGCAAAGATATGTCTTTTGTGATAAGGATGAATCCACAATTTTTTCACCTCAAAAATAATTTCTTATTTGAGACTCATCGCATATATCTGTATGAACTACCCTTCAATATATCCAATAGTACAACTTATGAGAAGTCTAAAATAATGTGATTAAATTTTATAACCTCCAATAAATTCAATCAAATAATCTTAGATCGAGAAACATATTTTGGAGAAAGAATTATAATCAATATTGTAGTCATCAAATCTGTTGATCTATCATGTTCAAATCTAAGTTGGAAATCTTTATTTGGAAATATAAAAAGACAAGAAATAATCTAGGAAGATTTTTCTTTGAAACTGAAAAGAAAAAAATTCAATTAAACAAAATTGCATACAAGATAGGTAATCTAGATGTAAATTTTGTTCTTTAGTTAGATGCTAAGGTTAAACACTAAAATAAGAAGAAACCCTCCTTTTAGTATTTGTTCATAATAATATTCATTAGTATCATTTCCTCTAAAAGACCAAAAAAAAATTATAACTGGAAAGGTTGTTCTCAATCCTTCAGAAAGAAAATAATACTTCTGTAGACTTTTTATTGTGAGCTTTTCAGCTTCTTTAATTCGGCATACGTACTTAAGTAGTTAATGTCGGTCTGGCAGGAATCAAGCTTTTACGAATGGCATACAGACGTATTCCCAAGAGCTTAGTGTTCAAGAAATGATCAGCTAGGAAGTCGTGCATGGAGGACGAGATTCAAACAGATAGTTAATCATGCCACATGAGTATCGTATATAGATAGGACTGTCATGTTACCTATCACCGTGACTGTCCAGGTCTGAGTTCATGGGATGGGCAGATGATCCTCTGTAGAACCATTCCACCGAAATATCCAGTTTTTTAACAACGGAGTGTCACGCAACAAAGCGTTATCGGAACCTACAGAGAGTACTTGATATTCACATTTTCCTGGGTAACTGTGCACATGAATAAAACAACAAAAAAAATGCAAATATGCTAGAGGCACCAACAGATTTTTTCCCGGATTCTAATGTTGTGAGGTAACATGGCAGATGAACATGGATTGAGTGTAGGCAGCACATTCAGTTGCTATATATATAAATTGCAGGAGGCTTAATAAAGATCTGTTGTGTTTGGGAAAGCTACATCTGTCTCTGAAATTACCCACATGAAATCCCTCCCTTTCAAGTAGAAGACACAGCTGAATCAGCGAGTAGAACTGTGGGCTCCTGAGTCTTCCATTGTTGTCTCGAACCTTATCGGAAAAGTCTAATCCCTCCCTTTTTGGAGCTAAATATCTGTCTATAATTGGGTTCTTAAATTTTTATCTTGCTACTGTTAAACTCGAAGTTCACAATGTACTGTGATGAACTCTGGACTAACATAGGAAAGTCATCTCAGTCCAGTACTGAGTACTGAAGTGTGTAGTAACTGTGGTTGTCTTTATGCAAGGGGGGCTATGCTTGGATGCATATACACCGCTTCTTGACATAATCAGGTCAAAGCACCTTCTGTACACTCATGAGAATCTTCTTAAACTTTGTCGTGCTCACAGAGGAAAACCGTACCGTATATCCTTTCCGAAGTTCACAATAGCTAGGGAGAAATAAATTGCTTTCAAGATGGCTTTGTGTTTGTCTACTATTTTTTATCTTCAGAATGCAGTCCTTTATGGGACAGCATATGACTTGATGGATGTATGGATTGTCTTAATCCACACATGAGACGTGCATTTGGACCACAGGGTCGAGAGGAAAGTTATCCTTGATTCAAGTTCATGTCCTTGTTGATGACCTGCTGAATTTTCAACGCCCCGACTCCTCATTCGATGTACACATACCCTTTTCCGAATTTCATGAAAATCAAATGGTAGACTCTTTCAACGCAAATATAGGTTTATCAATAGTGAAAGGTACACTGGGCGGAGTGATCAACGTGATGGGCTTATCAAACTTCAGAATATCCCCCTACTCCTACCAACTTCTTTATGAAACATTTGCTCATCATGGCCATTCTCTTTCAACTCATGTTCAGATCATCCTTATAAAATGAGGGAATACCATAAAGCTCAATAGATACAACCGGGAGTAGGAGACTTTCCGAGAGCTACAGGTGCAGCCAACATTTGCAATACATTTTTCCTACGCTATGAGATTAGCCTCGTTTCAGATATGGATTCGACCCTGTAGGCTGAAAGATATGAAGATATTTTATTATTATGTTATCGCTTCCTGAAAAAACTGCACAACGAGAGGATAATGGATTGAACACATCCATCAAAACATGTGAATACCGACCCCACCCCAAGTGACAAAAGAACTACTGACCATCATTTTCTTCCATTCAAGTTGTTTTACGATAGAAAAAAAGTCCCCTTGACTTTGCTTTGGGTACTGCTTGTGTCTATTAGATAAAAATCGAGGACTTGCTATTGAGCTTTATACACGGGGGAAGATACATAAAATACAGTACGGGGAAGATAGATACTTTCAGTATAGGATTAAAAATTTTTAATAGGTGCTATGATATGATATGTATCCTTATCAGATTACAGTCTAACGGGATGAACTCGTAACGCACTCTTCTCCGTACACAACTTACTGAGTAGTTTCAAGACTGTGAATACTTGATTACACTCTGTCGTATGAAAGAGATTTTCCTTGTCTATTACATTAAAGTATGTCAATGGTTGGAAAGTATTTCGTGGTGTTTCCCCCATCTAATATTTTCTGTAGACCATTTTTATGTAAAACTTATGATACAAGTCCGTTAAAGAGTTAGCAAGGTCAGAACGTATAAGTAACTATCAAAGAAGTGTCTATGTCGAAATAGGATCTTGAGAATACTGTAGCAATTAATAATATTCTAGATAGATTGAACATGCATTGAAAGCTTCAGATTGTAATCCAAGTCTAGATAAGATTTATACTCCTCTCGTGAATGTTTATAGATTTAGATCACCTGGGAATATCTTTAGATCTACAAAAAGGTCAGAGGTATGTATCGCACCTAACCCTGGCTTCGTCAATGGTTTTTGTTCGAACCCATTAATATAGCAAAAAGGACTATCGATCCATAAAGAAGTACATGAATGGAACCGGAAGGGCTAAGATGGGCTGGGTCCCAAGAGCATCACAATGGGTGCTATGTCATCGGTCAACAGGCCAAAGAATGAACAGAAGGTCAAGTCAACTTGATATTGCAAACGAGGTGTAGGTTGAATACAGATTCTGCTCACATTGCTAAAGGAGTTCGTACAACCGTCTACTTCGAGAACTTCTTGCTCTGAGGAAGAGGACTCGTGGCCTTTGTATAAATGAAACCACGAGAGGGTGGAGTCCATGGAAAGTGTTCATTGCTTTTGAAATGACAACTTTCTCAACTGTGACAAATTGGGGACCAGTTCCAAACTGGACTAGAGACTAGGTTCTTATTGTGGTTGCTATATGGTGATGTTTCCAATAGTGGTATGTCTTCATCTGCCTACAGTCAAAAACAGTACATAAGTAGCTCAGACAGAAAGTCCCTGCTCTATATCTGTAAATGTCTGTTGATTTCGGGAGCAAGATCGAGACCTTGTGGCCTCAACAGTATAGCTTCCTTTCAGCTCAGGTATTTGCATCGTAGTCTGCGAGCTTTTCCTTTCACGAAGAGCAAACAACGATACCTGGGTAAGCTTTTCATGGGCGGAATTTGTCCTCGGTTTAGTCAATCCTTTACAGTTGGAGTTGATGCTGGCATGGACTTCAACGAAAGAGTTCAACTAATCTCGATAGCACTAGTGCAAAATAACCACGACGGCTGAAGAGTCATTGAAAGCCGAAGAAGTCTTAGAATGTCATGGTCGACCACACCGAAGCCATAATTCCTTAAGTCCAAACCATTTTCTGGTGTCAAGACATAAGGTGAGTGGATGTTACTTAACTTACGAGTAAATAATCAGTCAAATCACACAATATTGTGCAGCTTACACATATTCCAGTAAAGCTCACCAACTGTCGTGGCTTAAAACTAAGCATCCGGGGAATCCCTTACGCTGCTCTTTCTCTGATCGGTGACTAGAGGCTCGAGACAACCCTGGAACTTTCTAGATGGGAATCTTGCCAGTGTTGTTGGAAGAGTACGTACGGGAGTAAAATCTGGTTCGATCGATTCACGAATGCTTGCCTCATATAATCAACACATCTATAACTAACAACTGAGAATATATTCAATGCATAGGTATGAAAGGTTGATCTTCGCGCAAGTCACGCTTTATGTGAACGTAGTGGGTGAAAGGTGCCAATTAACAACTTCACGTAAACATATGAGAACGCAGAGTAACTGCATGACGACGCGAGATCGTTCTCACACGCTACAGCTCACGAGCATGATAGCCCAAAGTTAGGAGAAGACGTAACCTTGTGGCATATGAGGGACATACTCGTAGCTCCATCGCCTAGAATTTGACTCCGCATCGGTCGCCCCTTGCTCTACTATGCAATCTCCCCGCTGTGACGATCATCGAACATCATTGCAGATTCCCCCGAAGCAGAGGAGTGAGACCATGGTATAGCGCGGTGAGGTCGAAATATCCCCTGAAACTGTGCACTTCCGTATCCAAGACCGCATGAAGGATGGAATCCAAAAGACGAACAGTCTGCAAAGTTCTCTCCATACGCTACCGCTCAGCTAATGCCTCCGAAGGCTCAGGCAGACCGAACCGAGATGAACTTCACAGAACATGATCTCTACGAAGTCTTCGGGTCCATGCAATCACATTAGATGGTCGCCAGTAAAGCTATTGAGCCGATCCTTCCGATGGGCCAGTCTTACAGTACAGGCGGTACAAGCATTCAGAATTTTACTAGTTTCTGGCAAGTTATAGAGCAGATTCGAAACCCGTGTCATGCGGGGCTTGTTTGCTCCTGAAGTATACAGCGGAGACAGTTCTATTCTCGCGGGCCCGAGCGGCCCTACATCTGAAGCTGACGGCATAAAACGTGCCAATCTACATCAGGGACGATTCTGACCGTGATTCAGGTCGGAATCAAGGTAAGAATCGGTCTGATATGCGTCCGTACACCAGTGGTGGACAATACGACTCGAGGGCAATAGTCACTAATTTCAACCTGGGAAATCGTAGTTTTCCAAAACACGTTGACGCTTTCGCTCGGAAATTCCATCTTTTGTCCGGGAGACCTCGATTCGAAAACTATCAGTCAATCGCGCCAGGGTTACAAGCAGTTGATTACTAGCGAGGTAAAGGAATGATTTCCAAACCATATTCATACCGCTGTCATGGGATTGATGAGCTAAAGGTGGAGACTTGTCAGCAGCTTTCTGAGTTCTCGGATATCCAGATCTGTTATGTACATAAATAGCTCGTACTGTGGCGATCCAGAGAAGTAGAATAAGGATTGGACTTCGACGTTGTGTCAGGGGAGGTACGTTCCAGCTCTTGATGGCTTATCTTCAAAGTCTGTCTTGAAAGTTGACTGCAGGCCACGCTTGGGCGAAGGAGGCGTGGATCAGAAATACGATTGAGGAATCCAAGCAATCATGACCATGCTGCAGGTGACGATCAACTTGCCCAGAATGTAAATCTGGTTTAGAAAATCCCAAGTCTAATGGTTGATTTCGTCAATCTCGATTTATATGTCTTTTGTGCATGCTTCCATGTATTGTCTGCAGGACTGAAAACAAGACCAAAAGCTTCAGACCTTTGACGGATCGGCAATGCTCCGGTGCTTTGGCGCTTCGGCGCTGGTAGGTGGGTGGCCGAGAACTGACAAAGGGTTGACAGTAGATACGCGTCTCCTGTGAAACTAGAGGCCGCTCTCGTTGGTCAACTTGCCGGTCATTTTGGAATGGAGTATCAGTTATTATCGTCAGCAAGATGAGATTAATCTAGAATATGAGTATGTAATTGTGCTATAGACTGTCCAGCGAGACATGAGAACGAAACACGCGATGGTCAGTGGGTTGACTTTCACTTCAGTCGCTCATATCAATATTCATTTTGAAAATGAGTATCTTATTCATTCTTGCAGTTCTCACTGGAAAAGGAATGTTAACCGAAAGAACTTTCACTACGGGCCCACATAAGTATACCTAAGACACCATGGAAAGATCAGTGAATACGGTAGGTGTTACTTCTAAGAAGCAACAGCTTTCACATTGAGGTTATTGCTCAATGTGAAAGCAACGACTGCAGTTCCACGAAAGTGAGAGAAGTCTCGATTGAAGACGGCAGGAATATTCACCCAAAGCTCACGGCCTTGAGGATGAACGTTAAATATGTTCGTTCTAGGTTAGTCACGAAAGTAGGTTGTGACTTGTTTCCTCTGAAGGTCTCCGATCTCAGTTAGCATAAGTTGTGTTGGGGAGAAGGAGACGACTGCAGACTGGTATGTCGATCGAACGCCAACATTGCAGGGACAATAGCTTGGCAGATACATCAGTAGCAGTATGTTGAGTATGAACACAGATCTCATTTCTGAAGTAAAATACTCACCAGCATGCAGTTTGTGAGTGAACAAATGAAAGACTTTTAGATTTGTGACATTTATCTTCACTTCTGTTCCTATAGAGAACTGATATGAACATCATTTCGTCCATCGAGGGAAATGCAGGACATGCTATGACTGTAAGATCAAATTCGCTCCTTTCTGAAGGGTTGGGAGAGGCATGGAGTCCTGAGATAACTCCTGATATATAACCCGAGTTCCATATCTTTTCATCATATTTGTGGTTTCTGTGTTTAAATGAAATCAATGAAGCTGCTATGACCATTTTAAGAGATGGGCGACCAGCCTCAAAACCCCAATAGAACGAAGTCCTCTGGACTTTCGAGGCCCGGCTTCTACCTGTGATATGTTCAACACGTATCTAACAGCTTCTTCCAAACGCTTACATACTACTCCACCATCGATCCGAAAGTCTCCAAATGCATGTTCATCTTCTGGGCTCCTAAGAGTATTGAGAATGTCATATCAAGGCTTAAATTTGAAACACCAAATCCGCAAGTCGACGAAAATTGTTGTGTATTTCATGTCGTGTTTTCACTTTCATTACAGACGTCGGGGTCTAAGTATCTAATGCGTTTCAATGTAGCCAACACATCTCGCGACTCCACTGAACCGACCACAGTTATGATCCCGTCATCCATCTTACAGCGAGCGGAAGAAACGCCTGCGTCAACGTCGAATACGTGGAGAGACAAATCGCTCAGTTTAGGACACAGCTACAAGCTCTATAAGTTCTGATGGCCATACAGTCATCTAGAAAAAGTAGGCTTTGAATATCGAATAGCTTTCTTGACTTGGTTCTAGCTCCGACCTTGACCTCGACTATATCCAGTATGAGAATTGACAATCAAGATTATTAACATGTAAGCTTACGGAGGAATTTCGCTACCTTCAAGTTTCTGAAGCTTCCTTTCAACCTTTATGACACATTCCTCGCAGCAGAAACGACGCACCCCGATTTCGAATATCTTCTGTAAGTGAAGATACTGAAGTTAAAAGGAAGAACTAGAAAGCAAGGATAGTGTGACAACGACTTCACGAGCAAAGGACTTTGCAGATAAGAGGATCCGACCTCGGGATTCCCGGTACGAAGGGGAGCTGTGTCTCTTCCCTGAACTTCAGTAGTAAGCCTCAATAACTCACTACTCATAGGAGTACCCCACTGCCGATTGCCTTCAGAGTGCACCGCTTCGCGGTTGCAGTGGGGATGAAGATCTGGACTGAGAGCTGGAATGGGAGGTGCAAGTTGAACATGGCATTCAGTAGTGGAATTCGTCACCGGTATTCCCCAACTCCAACGTCCTCGACAGTCACGATGCATGTTCTGAGGAAAGTTGTCGATATCAGTTGCTTCGCCCTGAGAGTTTTCACAGAAAGATTTCTAAGTATTTTCTTCGTCTAGCAAAATCCAACTTGAGACGGAAGCTGAGCATTGCTGCTCCTTGCCTTCCACAAGAGTCTTCAATGTCCACCAAGTTTTCAACATCACTGCGAAGACATGTTGTTCGTGTAACATCGAAGTATATGTTAGACATCGAGATTCATCGTACACAGTATGTCTTCAGATGTCTCCATAAAGTTCCTACCAATTCCACTTTGTTAGAAACATGAATTCGACGAGTTTTCGGTTCTGACGAACTTCAATAATGAAGAGCGCGATTTTCGAACTCACAGCCGAATTTTGCTCTTTTGGAATAAAGCTGATGTAGTTCAAACTCGAGAGTCTTGTTCAAGAGTAATGTCTCAATAATAATTCCCAAAACTCAGCACCTTAAACATGCAATACTTAAGCAAAAATGATTTGTTCAATGCCACTTCTCTAAAAAATGTGACAAAACATAAACACTGCTCACGACGAGAAATATTGCGGAGGTGTGAGATCCAGAGTGTAAAGAACATTGAGCTTCAGCGCACCTGATTGTTCATCTGATATATTGTCCGGCGACGCACAGGGTTTTTCTTGTATATAAGTAAATGATCTTGAGACTCCAACCAGAAGTGCTATGCAAGTCTCTCCGATTGCAGATACTTGCGTTCATGCGTGCGGTGAAAGAACTACGGCGGTAACGTGTGTCACCTCGATTTGTTGAAGCAAACAGTGATGAGATAAGCAGACCTTATAGGCGCCAGACGTGGGCTTCTCAGTTAAGCGCGAGCTGAACGCAATTTCGCACACGGAATCCAAAATTCTTTTGGTCAAAGAGGGAAGGGAACAGTTGTGAGAAGTGCTTTTGGTTCGTGCACGAATTCACGAAGGAATAGTGACTTTGACTGTGACTTAACATCAAGTTCCTCGTGATTACCAGCCAGAAGATGGTCTTAAACTTCCAAAAGTATCATACCATGAACATCTCGTATCTTGGACCATTTTTTATATTGGAGCATACGTATTGTCATCGTTTATTTGCGAGGAAGATCCTTTTAAATTATCATCATTTGAGGTCGACAGATACCACTAGCAACAGATATGGCCAGCTATACCCAGATTGGAGGTTTGCTTTGTCTGTTATCACGGATCAACCTCAACTTATTGTTGGCAGTTGTCATCTGATTAGGTCCTTGGGCCAGTCTTGTCAAAGTGTTCAGAACCTAGCTTCAGATTTACATATGCAGAGTCTACAATTAGATTTAGAATGATCAAGGAGACGATCATATATTTTCCAAAACTATCGCGATTCCGAAGTTCTTGAAATGACTTGCAAATTCTTCACCATGAGCTTTGCTTCAAAGAGCCATGATAAAACGAGGTTGCGACAGGAACCTCAGACCAACCAACGAAAAGTTGTTCGGGACTTCCAGAAGCTTCACAAGTATTGGCATGGTCATAAAATGGATTGGCATTCCGCTTTGCACGAATGAGGCCAAGGTCCAACGAGCTTGAAGTTCCTCGGAAGCACGAGGATCTTCAGATTGCCAGTACGCTGTAGAAGTCATTTCTCACCTAGTACAATCTGTACGGCAGTCACAAAAATTCAGTACCAGGCATCACATACCTGAAATTTTATGCCTAATGCTGTAGATGACAAATACAGCAGATGAATTATATTGGTAGTAGACAGATGATTTCGCTTTCAACACAAACAAAGCCGAGTCAGGTCACACAGACCCGTCCAAAAGGCCATTCGTCGGGAGAATTATGCAGTGTGTTCCCAATAGTGATGGGAACACACTATTCACAAGTAGTACACCTTTTCGTTCTTGACTCCTGCGCTTAGATTCTGCTCTATTGCGGAAATGCATTTCCCAATCTTGAAATATTTGAGAGAAAGTGCAGCGGTCATTCTAGTCTGCAGTCCATATCTGACTCAACTATATTATTCACCATATTCGAAGGTGTTTACGTTTTAACAACGTCTGACATGAATTGAGTTCTGTTCCAAACAACGATCTTTTGACATGATGTATAGCATCCAAGATTGTGTGAAAGGTTCATGCATTCCTAGATAGGCTCAGCGAAGATGGATATGAGTCAATGGAGGAGACAGCTAGGCAATAGGAGAAGTTCATGAAAGAACCTGGATTGAGCAAAAATTCTGTCTCTAAGTCTTGTTATCAAGTTATTGTAAAACTTTTTCAGCCAAAAGTGAAATGAACAGCTTTGCAGGTTTGATTTTCTTGGATATCTCTTTATTTTGGTTCACATTTTTAATATGTATGTTACAAAAAATTTCTATTTTTTTATGATCAGTACTCACAATATCCATGATCTATGTAAGAAAAGTGGCATGTGTGTAAAATCATAATTGCTATACTTGCTATTATTAAACCATTAACCTTCTTTGTTCGCATAAACTAGATTCGAAAATGAATAGAGGAAAATAAAACACAACGCATAGTACTGTATGATCTACTGTGTAAACTGCTTCAGTGATCGGTGAAAAGTGTCGAAGTAAAGGCTTTGAATGGAGAAAGAAAGCCTTAAAGTTGCTCTTGGTCAAAGGTTGCATTGGTAAATAAAGAGTCAAATTGGCCGAGTTAGGGTTGCCCATCAAGCTGGGGTTGGCCGGCACAATGTAACCTAAACTTACGAATAAAAGGCAAGGCCGGAGGTGAGGAAATCTATCTCACTCCAAGCATTGTTCATATGCCTTTGTGTATGTGTAAATGTTTGTACACTCTTCTCTCTACTCATATTGAATACTTCAATAGGTTATGGGCCCACATATGCTAGTGGAAGTAGAGATTTGAGTGCATCTTTGTTGCGGGTGGATCGTGGTGGCCGGAGCTTCGGGAGGTGCGGCATCTAGATTGTAATTTTTTTGTTCACTTGTTTTTTTATGCAATTTTGAGGCATTACAATATAATGTGATGCATTTGAGAGTTTGAAGTGCATATGAGGTGAGGTACTCCTCTTTTTGAGTGATTTTAAGTGCTCTCTTAGTCTCTTTGAATGAAGAAGGATTTGAGTGAACAATCACTTTTTGAGGTGAGTTCAACATTGTGATACTTTTAGAAGATCCAACTTGAGAGCTTTGAGATTTATTGAACTGATTCTAGGCTTCTTACACCATCCTTGAGTAGAGAGGTATCCTAGTGAAGGCATTTGAGAGATGGCTTCTTTTGAGGACGAGAGTGCCAAAACCATTGATAAGTTCCATGGAGAAAGGTTCAACCTTTGAAAGTTCAAGATTGAAATGCTCTTGGCCTCCATGGATCTTTGGGACATTATCGATGGATCCGAGAAGTCTCCACCTTCAAATGCGGATCTGAAGGTGAAGAAGTAGTACTAGCGGCGCGTAAGGAGGCCATGTCCGTGATTGGCCTCAACTTGGCCGACAACCAACTTGCCCACATCAAGAGTTGTAAGGGACCCGCGTAGGCATGGAAGACTCCTTGTAATATCCATGAGACAAAGAGTTTGTCCAACATTCTATTCATTCGCCGCAAGTTCTTCACGTGCAAGATGCAAGAAGGAGAAGATGTTTTGGATCAACTTGCATGCATGGAGGTACCCTTGCAAGACAAGGACACCGTCATGAAGTTGCTTCAGAGCTTGACGCCCTCGTACAAATAATTGATCATAGCATTGGAGACCAAGTCGAGGGAGGAGCTTACGATGGACTACTTCACGGCGCGATTAATGCACGAAGTGTCAAAGCGCAAGGAGAAGGACCCGCGAAGTGAGGATGCGGCAATGATGTTGAGGCAAGGTAAGATGGATACATCGTCTTCACGCCAAAATGGGCAAGGCACATGAACATGCTTTTATTGTGGCAAGCCCAGTTTTGTTACAAGGCCAAGAACAAGAAGAGGGAGAATGCCAAGATTGTGAAGGATAACGACGATTTTGCATTCGCTGTGCAACACACACCTTATGCGCGGAGCATGTGGGAATGGATAATGGATTCCGGAGCAACAAAGCACATGACCTCTCATCGCCTTGCATTCCACACATATGAGGTACTTACTTCACAAAATGTACATTTGGGAGATGATAGCATCTTGGAGGCGATCGGTATTGGATCCATAGTGGTGGAGGTGATGGTGAGAGGCAAGATTAATAACATCCGCATCAATGAATGACTCGATGTACCAAAATTACATGCCAATTTGCTCTCGGTGAGCAAACTTGTGTCAAGAGGTTTGAAGTTACAATTCAACATCAACGAATGCATCATTTGGACTTCCGAGGGTCATCATGTCGCCGTTGCACCTCAGGAGTGCAATTTGTATCACTTTCATGTTGCAAAAGTTCACGGAATGGATGCGGTTAATTTGGTGCAATCTAATGGAGGAGACGGAGTTCTCCAACTTTGGCACCGTCGCCTCGGTCATTTGGACGAGAAAGGCGTACGTGCACTCCGGTGCATGGTGGTCGGCATCGACCTCATCCAAGTTTCTTGTCCTTCGCCTTTGGTGTGCGAAGCATGCATTGAAGTCAAACAACATCGGTTTTCATTTCCAACCGAAAGAGCGAGGCGAATCACAAAGCCTTTAGAAATTGTGCACTATGACGTATGCGGACCTATGCCCACCACATCTATGGGCGGTGCAAAGTATTTTGTCACCTTCATTGATGATTGTTTGAAGAAGGTGTGGTTATACGTGTTGAAAATCAAAGATGAATGTTTCATAAGGTTCAAGGAATTCAAGGCGCGTGTAGAAATGCAATCCGAGCATATGATGAAGGCGTTTCGCTCAGACAATGGCGGAGAGTTTATGTCCAAGGCATTCATGAAGTTTTTGGTGGACCACGGCATCGCCAAAGAAACGTCTACACCATATCAGCCGCAACAAAATGGAGTGGCGGAACGTGCGAATCATACCATTGTAGCAAATGACGAGGAGCATGATCCATGCTCAAAAGTTCAAAATGATTTTCTAAATCATTTTGGGCGGAAGCAGTAATGAACGCGGTTTATACGAGAAACCGGTGTCCAACTAGGGCATTAGAGCGCATGACTTCTGAGGAAGCGTGGACCAGGAGAAAACCTAGCGTTGCACATATGCTAGTGTTTGGATGCTTGGCGTATGCAATGGTGCCGGATGAGAAGAAGGGTAAGCTCTACGCCAAGGCAGCAAATTTTTGTTTCTAGGATATTGTGAAGGTACTAAGGCCTATAGGCCTATGTGTTTGCAAACAAAAAAAATCATAAAATGTAGGAATGTGGAATTCTTAGAGGATTTTACAAGCATGGAGTGATTCAGAGATACGTCCAAGTGGAAGAAATGAAGGACCACATGTGGTCATTGTGGACAAATTTCCAAAACGTGAGCATAATGATGAGTTTAAGTATAGAGTGGGAGATAATGTGGCTCAAAATGGGGGATCAAAATTGAGTGATGGCACGGATGAGAGAGTTGATGAGGCTTCGCAACCGCATGCAATGAGTGATGGCAATGGAGAGAGTTTTGGTAAGGATGGAAGGTATTCTTTGAGGGAACGGCGGCCAGCCCTACTTGGAGAATGGTGGAAAAATCACATTCTTCCCCAACACAAAAAAGAACGTGCCAATGTGGCACTTATGAACGACTCGTTGAATTTGTGTGAGGCCATGCGATCCGAGGATGCGAGCAAGTGGAAGACCCCAATGCAAGAGGAGTATGACTCGCTCATGGCCAATGGAATGTGGGAG